CAAATCTGTAAATGAATATTCCGAAGTGAAGTAAACTTCAACGGATTTCCCCTGCTCAGGGAGTAGGGAGCAATGGACACTGTGTAGGGACCATGTCAATTGGAACACAGTTCATGCACGGAGCTCGCTTCTAACGAGATGATGATCTGAATCAGGTGTGTTAACAAAGAGAGACGTGCAAAACATGCAGAGCGGGGGTACGCGAGGACTGGAATTGAGAACCGCTGTTCTATATTATAACAGAATAACAGGCACAGCGTTTATGTATAACTTACTTGTGAAAACCGGACGGGAACAAAAACAAAACACCCCAACAGGCAAATGCAAAGACAGGAAGTACTGCTCATTCATTTCCACATAACGCGCCAGTGGAAGAAACCGTCAGCGACCCCTGGCGTTCTGGATGACGAACTTATTAAAGGGGGCGTGGTGGAACGTTCGAATCATTTCTGTGAATTGGTTCTTTTGAACGAATCAATTCAGCGATTCTTCTGCGTCACACTCCAGTAAAGTCAACAGGAACCCTTTTGTGTTGATTATTTATTATCCTTTTATGCATCGCTTTATTTAGATTATAATTGAGTTTTCTTTACCTTGGCTGTTAGTTTTGTTCTTTGTTATATTTCTTGATGTTCTGTTATACATTTGTATTTGTTGTTTCGCCCATCAGTGCTGCCGAGCATTTTAGATTAAAATGTGTATTTTTATGTTTGAATTTGTTCTAAATAGTTGTTATTGCTAAATAAAATTATATGCAATAAATTCAGCCACATTATGTGTTTTATATAGGCTATGTGTTGTGGATCGAATTTACTTCAGTTGTACCTTGTTACCTATGCACGTGACATAATAAGATTGTATGTAAGATATTCTAAATAAAACTGGAGAGGTTTTGTAAAAACAAGTCTTTGTATACTTTGAATCATAAAATATATCTGATAATTTGTTATGGTGAATTTATTTATTTATTTTTTGACAAATTTCACATACACAGCAGCAAACGTAGTGACTCTAAACCACGTTTTAAGGTATTTATTGAATTTCTTATGTTATGCTTATTGGTTCTTTTAAGTAAACAAAACAAATCCAGATTTGCTAGAATGTTAAAGATCATTTAAAACTTTAAACTGCTGTCTTTTTTATTTAGTTTAATGTTGTATTTATATTTATTTTTCCCTGTCTTTCGTAAACACTAATAACCTTTTATTTGGGAGGGAGTTTTCGTGTAATTTCGTGTGTCCATCAGTTAAATGTTCACTCACAAACTATCAGCTCACTCATCGGTTCTCGGACCATGTCGGTGGTAATTACATTATTACAAGACAACTTTATTCTGAGTTCAGCCGATGAGTTCTTGACTGGAGAACCGCTCAAGGTCGAATCAGTCCGATTCGTGAACGATTTGTTTCATGAACCGGTTCAATTGATTAATCAAAACGATTCGAATCAAAAGAACGAACCGATCAGCGCTAAACATAGCAAACAGCAGCCAGTCTACTATTTAGCGCATTTACATTTTGGCATTTGTGTGCTTAATAAAAATTCAGAAAAACTTTCATTTCAAACCATTATGTGTAGAAATTTTCCCGGTCTGCAGTTATATCTACTTGGGCTGCAGCGTATGTGTCCGAAGAGCAACGTCCACGTCACAGCAGCAGAAGTAACTACACAGGGGTGTCTAGGTTCACAAACAAGAACAGTTATTTGAATGGCAGAGTCTCGCATTAATGTCACCTTAGTGCTCTGAGGAGACTCGCGTATCCAAATGATGGTTACATAGAGTTTAATGCTACCAGATTTTTGTTTTTCGAGGACTATGTAAACTGAGGTAAGAAATTGTGGTCACTGATCGTAGCTAGTTCTGGTTAGCTGTAACGTTAAATGGCACAGCCAGCGTGTGCAAACTGTCACAGCGTCAGTAAATTGAAGTAACTAGGTTTAGTGCTCGCGAGTGCGTGAAACAACGTTTAATTAAGAGTTTATTGCTTAAACGCCTGTCAAAACAAAACGTAAGTAACGTTACCCCCGCACTTCATCAGACATTTTAAAAGCACAGCTGTTCTGATACAATATGTTGCACTGTTCAACAAGTGCTTCTTTGATCAATACTCGCGCACATCAAACTTTGGCCCTGCATGTTCTTATCAAATTACCCAGAGTTAACATACTAGCTCTGGTTAATTCTTATTGTCTTCCTTGCTCTTGTTAATAGTGTTTAGCTGTGCCTTGTCGGATCCGGGTTGTCCAGGAGGATGGCGTGCCCGACGCAGTGCCTCTACAGGGCGCTGCGCACCGTGGGCCTGGTGCTCTTCTACTATGTGTTTTCCATTGGCATAACATTCTACAACAAGTGGCTCATGAGGGTAAGATATAGTTCAGCTGGGTGAAAACATGCCTGTTCTTCGTTTTGAAAAGAACACTTATTTTTGCCCATTTGTGTTGTATAATGTCTGTTTTTTTCATCTGCCTCAGGACTTCCACTTTCCTCTGTTCATGACGCTGGTCCATTTCGTAATAATTTTCAGTTTCTCCACACTGACACGCTTTGCCATGCAATGCTGGACGGGAAAGCCTCGAGTGACACTTCCCTGGAAGGTTTACCTTTCTAAAGTGGCCCCGACAGGTAAGAATTTTTTGTTTGTTTTGGGAAAAAATTAATCAGTGAGTCCAAAGACGAAAAATGTGTTTGAATGTTTGCCATAATGGTAGCTGAGGAGATAAGACCTGTTATCTTTTCTATCCAACACACAGTTTGGGTGGGTGAAGTCCACACTGATTGAATGTAGCGAATCTAGTTGATCTCTGCTCGAGTATTCTGGAATCTTGTCCACAAGCCCATTATTCAAGTTTAAGCATAGAATGATTTATGATGTACAGTATATGCTTAGACAGTGATTCATCATACAGTAATATGTGTACAACTGTTTGTCTGTGTCCATCAGCCCTGGCAACAACGCTGGATATCGGATTGTCCAACTGGAGCTTCCTTTTCATCACTATTAGTTTGTAAGCATGCTATTACCTGAGAGATTGGATTTTATAGTGTTTGCAAGGCAGACTTTTATTCTTATTTCTCAAACATAAAACATCCCTTAACCTTAAGTACTAGTACAGACGTACGTGCTGTGCTCGAAATGCCATAGTGTCATACTACTCTTACTATTTCTGCAGAATCCAGAATGTACACTGTGCATAGTATGCACATTTTCTGTATGCATGGAATACCCGGATGACCTACTATATTTGCCAGAATCTGCTAAATATAACTCAAGTACACTGAAATCAGTACAAGTACAAGCAGTGTTCAGAATGGCATACTACCATAAAACTCCTACTTTATTGCAGTATGCAGTGTGTATAATGTGAATAGTATGTGAATTTTCTGTATGCATGGAATTCCCGGATTACCTGCTACATTTGTTTAAATTTTATGTATTCATCTGAAGACAAGTGCATGGGATACTGTTTTCCAGAACGCAACTCGCTCCATGTAACGTTTCATCTTCAAATTGTGAGTGAACTGGAGACGGGGGATAGTAATTATAAATGTAACACTTTTATATGTATATACATATTACTGTAAACTACAAACTATTGCTCTGTATCTAAAAACAATATCGTTAGTAGAGCATAAATTGTAACTTAATTTCTACAGCACATTTCCGCTCAAATCAAATGACGTCACCTTTATCTCTATAGCACTTTATACAGTACAGATTGTTTCAAAGATATTAAATAACAATAATATTGTAGTAATATAATATATAAATAATATATAAATAAACAAAACGTATCATTATTTGCACTTAGTGTAACTAGAATATATTGCTTTTTCCACTAAGTGTAACTGCCAAAAATAAAATATTGTTCAGTTAAAGACAGCTTAGTGTTGATCCAGTTCTGTTCAACATGTTAAGTTAATTATTTATGAGATGAGTTCAACTGGGCAATATAGCATTGTTTACTAGTATGCATAATTATTAATAAGCCTTTGTAAAAAGAATGGTTCACACATTTATTTGTAAGGTAACTACCTCGACAGCTGTGCTGAATTAATAAGGTTCATTTTTTTTGTCATGTGACAACACGGTAGCATACTACTCTGAAACATTTTATTGCTTATTGTATACTGTTTCACACTATTCTTAAAACAGTAGTAGGCAGTATATACTGTGTACTGGGCAGTAAGCAAGTATGCCATTTTGAACACAGCCACAGACTTCATTCAAACATTTCATATATATTGTTAGTCTTACATGTAGATGTGCTGTCTATTTTTAAATGCATATTTAATTAAATGCATACTTAATTGATTGAATCAGTCATGGGATTATGCAGTGACTGTTAAAATGATAAAAATATATGAATGTATTAGTGTTGTTCCTGGCAACCAGTTTGCTACACTTGTCTCGTTGGACTCTTTTTCTTACATAATTTGATGAATCACAATTTTTTTTCTCACATATCATCTTTGTAAATGCTTACTGGGCATCTCGTTGCTAGGAGATGAATGTTATATGAAAACAATATGTGTTCTAAAATCATTTATTTTCTGGATGAAATCAAAGCCTGAAGCTTAAAAATCTTTCTTCCCTTCATTCTCTACATTATTTTCTGTGAAATCTGTCAACACCGATTACCCAAAATCTGCAGACTGGCTCTGACTTTTAGCAATGAATTTCAACTCCTCCAGACTACAAATTGGGGCAAAATCTATGCAGTAGTCATGTAGTGTATTCCAGTCTTAAAACCTGAACACTTGACCTACAAACTGGTGTTTGCTTCAGGAAAAGCAAGTTAAATTAAAACTACTTGGGAATTTGGGGTTTCTTCTAGGTACACCATGACCAAGTCTTCAGCTGTTCTCTTCATTCTCTTTTTCTCTCTGGTCTTCAAACTGGAGGAGCCGGTAAGTGTGAAATACACTCAATTCTTGAATAAAGGACTTAAAGGAAGCTAATGTTCAAAGGAAGCTATTTTTAGTTCAGACCCATTAAGCATATATTTTACTTACATAATGGCCACATCAAGATGCATTGTTAAATTAGCCATAGGCAGCAATGTGCAGTATTTAATAAGACATCTTTTCATGTGAACTTTGTTGAACTGGCTGATCTCTATGTATGTGCGCATATAATCATTATCACCCCCAGACTAGAGAACAGCATGTTATAGAGTGTGACAGTTAAAGTACATTTAGACATTTTAAAGAGAGTGCATTCCAACTGTTGTGAAGGATGATGACATATGTTTTAACAGCAGACATTTTAGATGAGACGTTTTTACATCATGTTAAAGGACTGTTAAAATGCTCTTAATAAATATGCTGTGAGAGTTTTTCTGAGAGGTCACACTGTGAGACGAAAAATTTGAAAACTGCATGTGAGATGTTAACCCAATTTATTTTTTTTTGCCAGTGAGTGTGTTTATCTTGATGGATGTTTCTGTGTTTAGCTGAGCAGTAGTTAGCTCGCCTAATGTAATAGCCAAAAAGACATTCTTTTGCTTCTAACTTTTTCCCTTAGTGAACAGGTAACATATAAATATAGCCAAAATCCCAGCACAGCTATTGTCTTTATCTTATGGCTATGGGGAATTTGTCAGATGTTTTACTGGCTACAAATATTTAACTTACCAGCCATTTAGAATTTCTACTAGCCAAAACTAAATATCATAAACCATAAAATAGATAAATCACTGCTTTTGAATGGCTTTCAGTTTTACGACACTCCGTCATTGCTTGCATATACCACAAAATAAAACAGAAATCTTCACTTTGAGAATGGTGTTTGAAAAAATTGCAGACTGGAAAGAGAAAGGGTGATCGGTGTTAATACATTTCAAATGAAGCATAGACTATTAAAATTTAAACAAAATAAAGAAAAATATTAAACAAAATAAAGAAAGGAAAGGAAAATAAAGCAGTGTTTCATACATGCATAAAAGCTGTATGATTCCTCTCCAGTTTTGGCACTTTAAAAGTTTCACATAATCTGGGAGTTGTGCTGGAACATTAATAGCAAGCAATCAGTAATACATGCAGTTGCCAAGCCGTTAGGTGATTTAAGAGGGTAAAATCAATTGTAACAGGAAGCCATTATAAACCAGTTAATGTTCACTTTTGATTTTAGCTTCATTAAAGATACCATTAAAATTCATTAATTTTATTTTCTGTTGATGTATTTACTTGACTTGACTTTTTTGAACCTAACAGAACCCATTCCTTATCCTCGTGGTGTTGCTGATAGCCAGTGGTCTGTTCATGTTCACTCTGAAGTCCACTCAGTTTAATCTGGAGGGCTTCATCATGGTCCTGTTGGCCTCTTTCATCGGAGGGATCCGCTGGACTCTTACTCAAGTGCTTATGCAGAAAGCAGAGCTTGGTAAGTCAACATGTTATGAACTGTGTTCGCCGGTCTGTATGGTGAAGTGGTGAATTCTCGTGACTCTTATGTCCTTGTCTTTGCCACACAGGCCTTCAGAACCCCATAGACACTATGTACCATCTGCAGCCTCTCATGTTCCTTGGCCTCTTTCCTCTGTTTCTTCTTAATGAGGGTCAGTCTGACACCAGTTTTTTTTATATATATATATATTAAAATGTATTGAAATGTATTAAAAAATAAATAAATATAACATTTTACAATATTACTGTTCTTAATGTATATTTGATCAAATAAATGCAGACTTGTAGAGCATTTTTAAAAACCTTACCCCAAATTTTTAAACAGCGGTGTAGGTTCCATAATGTGTATTTCAAAACTGTGATTTTGAGGCCTGGAACATTTGAAATTAATACAATTTGAAAGCGCTGTTTTTCTAGCTATGCTCAGTTGTTAAATATTATGCTGCCTAGAAATTGCTTTTATGAGTGTGATCTCTATAGATGTTTTTCCTGAAGTCACGCCTGACTCTTAACCGGAAGGATGCTTTGCATTTCTGGTCTCCAGTGATTCTAGTCAATTTAGCATATATTCCAAGCTGATAATCTAATGTTAAACCTATTATACTGTTTTAAAAAAGCACATGGCTCCATAGCGCCATCACTTTACAGTGTCGCAATTACCGTCATTTGTCAGTGCCTCACTCCTCAAAGTTTAATGAGTGTGTAGATGACACGAAGCTGCCAACGTTAGCTATATTAAAAACAGATGGGCATTATTTGAATGGGTTCCTAAGGAGACCGGAACAGACGAGCATCCAATCGGAAGTTAGAATTCGTAATGGTGGCGCTCATCGTTTACTCAGGAAAAAGGTATATAAAATAATTTTAAAGAAATCTTCATCTAGTCATCACAAACAAATGCCAAAGCCATTGATTGGTTAGAAAGTGTGGGATTCCTGTCTTTAATTTGAGCTGTATTTTAGTATTTTGTCTTCCATAAGTGCAAATCTCACAAAGAAATGTCAGGGTCATATTTTACCTCAAAATAAAAAATAAGACGTTATAATGTTGTAGTGGGTAAAAATATACCCATATACATATTTTTATTTTTATTTTTTTATTTTTTTTTATAAAATCAGCTTAGATTTAATACAACAAATATTACCATAATGGGTACTTATAGTAGTCACAATTTAAGAATCATTTTTTGCTCTAATACTTGTCATGAAAATCACAATGGACTAAATTTTAATAGTCCTAAAATTCATTTCATTTACTTCATGCAAAATATGTCTCTTGGTTACCAGTGGCATTGCAATCCTTACAGATCTGTTTGCTTGTTTCTTCATCCTGTGATTGCTGAGCAGGGCTGAGTGTGAGTACCACAGAGAAGCTCTTCAGGGTCAGTGAGCTCTCCCACCTGCTCTACTCTCTGGTGACTCTGTCTGTGGGTGGAATGCTGGCATTTGGGCTGGGCTTCTCTGAGTTCCTGCTGGTGTCCCGCACCTCCAGTCTGACGCTATCTATTGCAGGCATTTTTAAGGTGAGAAAGAATACATCTTTGTTGCTTTCACATAATTATGAGTAATAAACAAAACTGCAGAAGCTCTTTGTATACCCTCATCGTTTTATTTTTCTCCATTTCTCAACAGTTTAGCTAGGTCTCAAAGCCTTTATTAGCCTTAAACCATGAATATTCTTCACAAAGACATTCTCTTTGTCTCTGTCTCTCTCTGTAGGAGGTGTGCACTCTGCTGCTGGCAGTGGAGTTCATGGGGGATAAAATGAGCACAGTCAACTGGTTGGGCTTTGCTGTGTGTCTGTCTGGCATATCACTGCATGTTGGTCTCAAAACATACTACAACAAAGGTAAGACTTATTCCGATTATGCCTGTAAGTATTTGTAATGTTTTGCATAGTTTTGTATTACACAATAAATGACAAACAAAACAACATCAAGACAAAATACAAAATGCATGAAATAATAATAATAATTAAAAAAAAACAGACTTTTTAAGAACAATCAGGGCATAAAGGCGGTTTCAGAGTTAATTAATTTTTACTGGTTGTGATGAAACTTAAGTAGCGACACGTTCTATATTTTGACATACATCCTTGTATAATAAATTAGCGTAAAAGAAAAAATGTAGGGTGCAGACTTTATTCTATGCATCGTTGAGATGTTGGTGTTGCACTCAAAAGTGGAGGCAAATTAACTTTTTTTTTTCTTGAAAAAAAATGAAACACCAGTACAGATGAATTGTTCACTATAAGACCTGCATTTAGGAAATAGATGGGGTGAATTTTAATTTCATGCTTACTTTATTGTCATAGTCATTATGACTATGCAGTGCTTATTTGTTAACAGTAAATTTTGCTGTAAAATTTAACGTGTCAAACTGTTTTTTGTAACTTCTGTAATGTGAAAAACTATTTTTATTTTTGTAATGGGTAAAATATCATTCTACACAATTGTTTTTTTTTTAATTAAATTAGTTTAATTTTTGTAGCTTTTTTTCTATTTTAATTTTTTTTATGTAAATTAGCTTAGATTGTTTTTAATTATTATTATTTCATAGAACATTTTATGAGAGACTTTAACTTATAGCCAATATTGGACCTCTGCTGGCATTATCGATTGTGTTAAAGTACAGCTTCAATACTAGATTGGATAAAAATCTTAAGAAAAAGAAAATGTGCAAAGCTGGTTTTTAAATCAATAATTGTTTTGACCAGGTATTGTTCTTAGGGTGTGTGTTTCTGTCTTTTTATAGGAAATGGACCCATGGTAAGACAACTACCAGTCAGAGACAACCCGGACCTTGAGCTTCCACTTCTACAGACAAAAGAAGACTATTGTGAAGACACAAATGATGAAGAGGAGCAAGAGATCCTTTATTAGTTCCAGGATGACATGAATATCCTAAATAGACTTGTGGAATGTTTTCTCTTAAAGGCTTACGTGAATGGTCACATTGATCACAGGTACTCAACCAGCCCCAGACATGATATGAATGATCTTTGCTCTTGGGAAGACAGGACTCTAAAAGAAACTGGGTGGGTTAGTTCATCCGAACATTTCACTTCAGTCATCATTTCCTCACCCCCATGCTGCTCCAAACCTGTATGACTTTTTTTCTTTTTCTGTGGAACACAAAAGGAATGTCTTCCATACAATTAAAATGGATGGAGACCAAGGGCTGTCAAAAAAGATAAAATGATCGTTTATTTACTCTGAAGAAAAAGTCATATGGGTTTTGGAAGACAAATGGGTGAGTAAGTTTGACAGAATTTTAATTTATAGGTGAAATATAACTTCAAAACTGCTGGTGGCATTGATCTCAGCACAGGACCAATCTCCAAGTGGCCTTAAACATTTGTTTACATGGCAATAAAGGATTTATTTTACTAAATATCAATTCTGTTTCACTTGCCCACAATAATTGCTTCACTAATTATAATATAGAATGTAAGTGAACTACTTGTTTGTTTGTTTTTTAATAAAATGAATGAACTTCGTTTTCTTCTACCATGTATTCCTTCCCTTTTCCTTTTATACAGGGCAACTTTGTGAATGGTGTGTAGCCTATTTACTTGCTGTCTAGGCTTAATATACTTAATTTTCATCATTCAACTATCAGCTCTTAGAGAGGGAGGCAGACTTCATTATAGCCCAATTAGATTTGTGTGGAGTTTTCGTGCAGATGCAGGGAAGTCTGTAAATGTAGGAACCTGATTGAGGTTATTGAGTTTGTTTAGTGGAATAATTTCGAAGTCAGAAGGCCAGTTCAGTTTTCCAGCAGTCTGAGGATCAAGAGAGAGCACAACTGTTTTAGAAGACGGTAATGAATTCACTTTAGGCTGACAGTATGCGTCAGTATGCGTCAGTCTCGTCTGACATTGAATAAAAAGTTTAAAACAAACGTTTATTTTGGATCAAGAGAGAGCACAACTGTTTTAGAAGACGGTAATGAATTCACTTTAGGCTGACAGTATGCGTCTGTTTGCCGATGAGTCTCGTCTGACATTTAATAAAAAGTTTAAAACAAACGTTTATTTAAAAAAAAATGCATTTTGGAACGCTTTAATCTAAATATTTGATACAATGTTTCCTTTGCTCATATACGCATTGACGCAAACGTTCCATGCAGGTTTTATGTCTCTTTTTAAGTCGCTTTTCTGCTTGTTACCTCAAACTATATCTTCAGACATATAACTTGTTTTTAGCCCGACATGGCTCATTAAATCTGGCTGCTAAATTTATGCTAATTAAAGCAATCAGCCACGTTGTAGGCTATTCGGACATTTCTGGTAAAGTTTGTTTATTTATATAAAAGAAGCAGGTGAGTTTTTTGTGTAGGCCCTGTGTCTCAAAAACATACTGAACATTATATGCAGCAGTTTCTCTTCTCTCGAGCCTTGCAGAACAGCTGATATACCACCCTGACTGTCTTTTCCCCGCCTCTATATTACTAGAGGACGGCACTGCACCCGTATCAGATTGCACACCTAACCCAGCCAAAGTAGAGACATAAACGGCAGCAAATGGGAAGTGAGTGACCGGGACTCAATGTGTTAACATCCCTTACCTGTGTGGAATGCGCCAGATACACGCTTCAGCTTCAGGTAAACTTACTAGCCTAATAGACCTTTATTTGAGTTATATATGTTATGTAAGTGTGCGTTTCTCATTGCTGCAGAAACAGAAGCTGTTGCTGTTTTGAATTATATATTTTAATTCGCTTTGACTCGCTGTAATTGTTCCTAGTCGTTTACGTTTGTGACTGAGTTGAGCAATATCTATATAAGTAAAGTTTGAGTTAGTGAGTAAGACAGTAAAGTCTAACCACCTAGTAATACGCAGTTCATCTCATTTTTGCGTGCTGCTTCAGTTTTGGGTTTCATAATGCGCTTGTGTAGCGGTAATAACTTTCGACAGCTCACTATAGGTGTGGTATCACAACAGATTCAACTCTTTAAAGTTCCTGATATCATCTATTTCTGCTGTATTCCGTACAACAAGCCAATGCATGAAAAGGCCGTCTTATTATGGCCCAAAGCGAGGGGAGGGAGGGTGTCCAATTAAAATAGGTGTCAAATAATTGCACTCCTCACACATAATATTTACCAACGCACTGCTGAGAAGATTTTTCTGTTCTCTCCATTAATTTTTGATGTGCACAGGTGGGATTGTAATGGGTCAGTTACTAAACTACATTCTGATTTTGCAGACATGTCTGGTTCTACATGTATAACAGGTGTTCAGCTTTCCCTCCCTCGTCTTGTAATAGTCTTCAATGGGCTTGTAATGACCAGTTTGGTGCAGCCTTTTCTTTAAGTGTCCCATCTCTCTCTTCTGTCTTTCTCACCCCCCCCTCATTGATTAGGAGAGTATATTTAAAGTTGTGTGACATTTAAAAGGTTTGGGATGCTCTTGTTGTGTCGCTTCATCAGAAAACAACAGTTGAACAACTTTATGGTGCCAACAACCATAACTGATATTAATTTTTATCACGATCACTTCTGCTTTGATGTTTGTTTGGAGTGAACGAAAGTTACGCTCATTTTTGCCTTGCTTACAGTGATCATTTTCCCACAGGTCTTTAATTGATACTTGCAAGTTTATGATGGCCCACAGCTTTCCTTCTGTCCTCTCAGAGCGAACGAGACTCATCCTGGTGACGGTTCTCCTGATGCTGGTTTCTGAAGTCCATTCCCAAGGTTATATATTGCCTTTTACCTTTCACTCAAGCCACTCATTTACTAGATATGCACCATATTTTGGATGATGTTGAGAATTTTTTTTATGTTACGATGGATATCCGAAATATTGCCAGCATTACATTTCGGTACTATTTTGTACCGAAAGGTAATCTGGTAAGGTAATCAGATGTAATATGAATGTATGTAAACAGAGAAAATGTTTGTGCACAGTTAAATACTGGCAGCGAAGGATAAACTAAGTAAAATCTACTCTAGTAATTTTTGTAAACCCCTAACTGTATGTTTGTTTCTGTATTTTTGCACATATGTTTCTGCATCCTTGAATATGGTCAGACTTTGAGAGCCGTGGATAATTACTGGTGCTTCCATAATTAGATGTCCTTTTTTCTAACCAAAATGCAATGCCGGTGCACTTCAAAATGAAATAAAAGGGTCAAGTAGCATTCATGCACGCAAACAAAAATAGCAATCCACATATAGCTCCCTTCTGGTGCAGAACTACGTTCCCTTTCATGTTTATTTAAAGGTGAAGTGTGCAGCTTTGTAGTATTAAAATGTTCCTAATAATAATCCAGTTTGCAGAAAAACAAATATAAGTATCCATATTCGTTTATATATTACTGGTAGTTTCCTAGTGGCACAGAAATGATACTTTTAAGCATTAAATCAGTTAATTAAATTATATCTCATCATAACTGAGTTTTCTGAATGTAAATGCTGTACTATAGTAGTACTAATATGGTACCAATACTATATCACATTTGCCTTAGAGAACTGTTTTTAGATAAGACTTCAGTAAATGCATTTACAGATCCTTTATTCTGTCTATGATAGCATCAGAAAAACTGTGAGAAAACAAACAGCTTCTGTTTTACTTGTGAAATGTCATCTGCATTCCTAACAGTCCTTCTAATGGGACCAAATTTACAACCCACTTGCTAGAAAAGTGTGTTGTAATTTCACAACAATGGAAAACCTATAACAGTGCAGAAACGCTAACATTTTAAACTCCTTTTTTAGCCAAATGATACAGATTTTTTCCCCCACCTCAATCTGTCTAAATTGTATATTTCCCCAAGGGAAGGAAATTCTTGGTTAGCAGTACACCAGAAAAGAATAGTCTAAAATGCAAACTTACTGCCTGAGGCCATTGTGCAACATTGTGGAATCCCTAGACAACTGCACATAGCGTTTTGTGGACGTTGCTACATTTGGCCAAGAAATTTGCCTTAAAAATGCTTGGAATAATTTGTGTCCTCTCTAGGCCTCTTGTTATCTCTGTCATCCCTAGAGGATACATGCTGCGCGTGTGTTTTCGACACTTGTTTTTGTCTGAGCAGTTGGCTGCACATTTGTTGACTTCTGGGTTGGTGGTGCTGCTGTGTGAAAGCTTTTTTTTGCCTCTGATCCACTGCCAGTTAATGCAGACCATGGATATTTATTTGTTGCCACACTGTGAAAATGATACTGTAAGAAGCCAATTCTACTGAATTTCACCCTTAAAGGTACTTTTATTGCTGTAATCGAATGCAGTTAATTGTCATAAATAAAATTAATAATAATAATAATTTTACTTGAATTAAACGTACCACATGAAACATTTTTATACCTGATAACACATTTTTTTAAATGCATGCAACACAGCATTTCATCATTCACCTGGTTTTATATTAATAATAACAATATTACAATTTCATAAAATTATATTATAATAATATATATTTTTACTTTAATTAAATCTGTTAATTTTAATGCATCATTTATACCTAATAAAACATTTTTATAGTACGTGAAACCCAGCATTTCACTATTCCCTGCTTTTATAATAACAGCAATAATAATAAAAAAATAAAATAAAATGGTTTTCCCCCTTGAATTAAACCCCTTAATTTGGATGTTAACACATTTTTATACCTAATAAAACATTTTTATAGTACATGAAACCCAGCATTTTTTTGTACAGTGTATGAACCCAGCATTTCAGCATTTCCCCAATTTTATTCTCCCAATAACATAATCGGGAGCTTAAAGACACTACAGTAAGAGGGGACAAAGATCTTCATGTTTTTTGGGGTCATCCTCATTGTGACACTCATCTGGGCTATGACGTTACATGCATGCAGCCCCTTCAGGCTGACCTTCAACCCCACCGAAAAGCAGATTTCCTGTGGTCCTCAACCCCGTTACCCTGCAGGGCATTACAGGGCCGGCTTTGAGCACTCACGGACAGCTGGGGAGAGGGGAAGACGGGGCTGGGAACATGAAAGAGGGGATTGTGACAAGCTGACATGTGGAAATTATGCAGATAAGCTGAAGACAAGGGCAGAGTTGAACAAGAGAACAGTGATGAAGGAAAAGGAGGAATGAATGAAAAACTTCCCGTTCAAATATTAAAACTTTTTAGAGGGGAAAAATGCCATTGAGATGCTTTTAGAGGAAGACTTTGATCTTTCAAGACATACATATTTTATAGGGGTGTAACGATTCACTCGTTTTCTCGATGCATCGTTTTGACTTACATAAATTTCTACATATGCCATGTCATGCCATAGCATCATTAAACTAGCATCTAACAATAGACAAAAGTGTTTTTTTTTCTTTCTTTTTTTTCTAACCTATGGTTCTGTAACCATAAAGGCTGCTGTGTAATTTGCCTCCTGACTAAGCATTTAAAGAATTTAGGGGAAGCATTTAAATAATCCTGTGAATGCACAAAGAATGCAGAATCGAATCGTTAATCGAA